TATTTTATAATAAAATTTTGACGAAATTTTATTGAGTTTAAAATAAATAGTAATACTTATTTCTTACCTTGATTCTTAAAACGCAATGTAACTAATTAAAAGAATAATAATCATTTATGTACCCTATATCCAAGATTTTTTTATCAAGGAATGCATCTTGTGTAGAGTAATGATAAAGAGAATGAAAACTTGAAATGAAAATTTAAAATGAGAATTTAAAACTAATGACATAATATAAATCATATTATTAAATTAATTGATATATGTAACATCATGAGTCTTAAAAACATAAAAAGAATTAATTATTAAACAATATAAAATTTAAATTTTAATAATTTAAATGATATAATTTATATCATGTTATTATTCTAAATTTTGGTCTTAAATTTTAATATAATTTAATTATTATTATTCTTCTGCCTAATATCGTCGCTTATATTAATCTATAATCGGTTATCATCCATAATAACCGTTTTCATTTCTCTTTTAGCCACTTGTATGTAACTTAGATTTTTATGTTTGAAAGTTTATTTTCTAAAGCTTAGCCATTTCGAAAAAAATGTTAGCTTGCTCAAAAATGTCTTTTGAAAAAGGGGCAATTAAATAGATCCTTATGGGCTATTTGGTTCGAGAAACTTTTATTTTTAAACTTTTGTTTAATCTCTTTTTTAATCCTTTAACTTGAGTGTGCTGAAGGATGAATTTGTATTTTTTGAAATTAATGATGTGTATAGCTCCACATCAGCAATAGGGTCCACATGATCTATTTTCTACATCATACATGTTGTTTTTATTTTCTATTGATTACTGTAATAGAGTTAGCATTGCTAGGAGCAGCTTTCATCAACTTTGTTGGAAATATTGCAGATACAATCCGCTCCAACATCTACGTCTATATACATGGCCGAACACGGCTATGTCTATCTCTACGACATGGTTGGGCGCTTTCAACGGTCGTGTTCTCTGCAATGATGTTCATACCCACCTTTTTTGGCTCCTAGCAATGGATAAAGAACCTACTTTGTTACACATATATGTCTCCATCAATGGACAATTGGTTGTATCCATATAGCTCCTGATGATGGAGAAAGGACCAAATTTGCTATCTTATTTAGCCTCCAGCAATGGGCAAAAGGCTACACATTTCTATATATTTCATCACACTAACCCTCGACAACAGAAAAAAGGTCAAATCTCTACATATTTCATCTTACTAGCTCTTGAAAACAAACAAAGAGTCAGAGCAACTCGGTACGATTAGCGTTAGGTTGGTAACAGTTGCAACCATGCACTTGGATGGGATGGCTACCTTCCAGGGATAAAAATCCATCAAGTAGAGGCCGATAATCCCTTGATGGTCGCTCGTGCATGATGGTGTGGTGCTTGGCAGGCAACAACAAGTTAGGACCACCTTTTAATGGGGTAGGTACAGCAAGAAGGGCTAGTGTTTGTTAGTGGTATCACACCTTGTTGTATCGAAGGCCATGGATGTGGCTGGTGTCCCCCTTCTACGAAAACAACTCCACTTTTCTTTATCACATATTCATCGCTATGGCAGAGTCTGGCTTAATGAGATTTACCCTTCGCGACTTGATGGATTAGTGG